GCAGGAGCATTGGTGAGCCCAAACGGCATCACCACGAACTCGTAATGACCATAGCGCGTCCGAAACGCAGTCTTCTGCATATCCTCCTCCCTGACCCTCATCTGATGATACCCCGAACGCAAGTCAATCTTGGAGAACCAAGATGCTCCCTGAAGCTGGTCAAATAGGTCGTCAATCCTTGGAAGCGGGTATCGGTTCTTCACCGTTACCTTGTTCAGCTCCCGATAATCTATACACATCCGATGCGACCCGTCCTTCTTTCTTACGAACAGAATCGGGGCTCCCCAGGGTGAACTGCTCGGCCGAATAAATCCCTTGTCCAGCAGCTCCTGCAGCTGCGTAGACAACTCCTGCATCTCGGGAGGAGCCAACCGATATGGTGCTTTGGCTATCGGAGCCGCACCGGGAATGAGGTCAATCCTGAACTCCACCTGTCGCTCCGGAGGTATCCCAGGTAGTTCCTCCGGGAAAACATCAGCAAAATCTCGAACCACCGGGACCTCGCTCACGGTCGCCTTACCCGCCTCCCGGGTATCCATCACATACGCGACATAACCCGCGCATCCCTGCTGAAGGTAGCGCCTAGCCCTCGCTGCTGAACATACAGTGGGTCCACACTGCGGCCGCTCTCCATGAATCACTAACTCTCCCCGCTTGGGGTCCTGACTCGCACTAGCTGCTGTGCGCAATCTATCACTGCCCCATTAGGGCTCAACCAATCCATACCAATAATCACCTTGTTCCCACGCAATGGAATGGGAACCAAGTCTACCAGGTAACGCTCCTCAAACAGTCGCAGAACACAATCTCGAAACACCATCGATGCTCGCACCGATCGATCGTCAGCAATCTCTACCTCTAACGGGCAATCTAACTCGCCTGAAGTCTCATGAAATCTCTTGCTAAGAGCAAGAGAAACGAACGATCGGGATGCACCCGAGTCGAACAATACCTGAACCGGGATGCCGTTCACATGGAACGATCCTAATACACATGTATACACACGGAGCACATATCAATATCATAACAACGTAAAATAAAAGATAGAAGGAAGGAATCATACCCGTCACCACATCGGGCGCGGCGCGTGCCTCCTCGGCAGTCAACTGAAATGCCCGACTCCTCACCACTGGAGCCTCTGCCTTGCCCTGACGGCCATCCGTGATCCGCAGGGTCGCTGGAGCTGGCGCCTTCACTGGCGCTGAAACTGTCAACATGGGGCAATTGGCCTTCTTGTGGCCCCTCTGGTTGCAGTGGAAACACAGCAACTCCGATGTCTGAATAACTGTCGCAGGAGCAGTGCAATCCCTGCTGATATGCCCAAACTTGCCGCACTTGTAGCAGCCTGACGATCCCATCCTGCACGCCCCCTCGTGCGGCCTGCCGCACCTCCTGCAGCGGCTCGGTCCCGACTGGCCTTTTGGCCTCCCATCTGATCCCTTGGGCTTCTTCCCCGAAGCCCCTGATGCCTGACCATCCTCAAGTTTCCGTTTCCGGATGTGCTCCAAATCTATCTCTCTCTCCCTAGCCCTGGCAATCATGGAGTCCAGGGTAGGGCAAGCCGAAAAGCTAACATGCTCCCGAATGTCAGCTCGTAGCATATCATGGTAACGAGTCCTCCTCATATCCTCGTCACCTGCATACTGGGGCACCAATAAAGCCCTCTCCCGAAACTTGGCGGTGATCTCCGCCACGGTCTCTGTCGTCTGCCTCATGTCTAGAAACTCCCTGGCCAGCTGCTGAAGCTCGACCGCTGGCGCAAACTCTGCCCTGAACCTAGCCACAAAGTCCGACCAGGTCATTGCCTCGATAGCCGAGGCTCCCAACGAGTCACCCACTGACTCCCACCAATCTCGGGCCCGGTCCCGTAAACACCCTGCTGCGTACCTCACCTTCGACCCCTCGGGGCAGAAGCTGGTCAACTGGGCGGACTCATATCCGCAATCCACCGCCTGGCGACAATGGGGTCCTTCACCCCATGGAAATCCGGCGCACCACTGCCCCTGAAGTCCTTGAAGGACAGTGTGCGAGATCCCGACTGGCTAGAGGCCAAGTCGCTCCTGAATGCCCGTAGGCGATCCTCCATCAACTCCACGATCCCTTCCTTGATCGACCCAAAGATGATGGGGGTCGACTCAAGGATGCCCCTAGTGATCTCCGACGTGATGAACTCACGTAGCCTCTCCTCAATCGGCTCGGTGCCAGATCCCGAACCTGACCCCTCTCCTGACCCGCCATCTGTCGGTCTCGGTCGAAGTACCACCATTCTGCAAAACATCATAATAATCATTAGTGGTACTGCTACTTTCTGAGGGATCTCAACTACTTACAGGTTCCTTGGTCTCGTCTTGGCCTTCCTCGGCTCGGGTACGGATCCTCTGCTTTCAGTAGTACGGGCCCATACTACCTTCCACATCTATCCGTACCTTCTCCGAGGAATTCCTCGACTCCACCAGCTCCCCTTTACTACTGCTACTCTCTGTTATTCTCATCCTAGGCTTGCCCTAGGGAAAACTCAAGTTCAACACAACTGGTCCTCAGCTGCTGTAGGTCTCCTCATAATGCCAGTTAGCCACCACCTAAACACCATCACATGTGATGAGGATTAGATAATCCTTCAAGTAAAAGATCCGTCCCTACAACGGTTGGACTCAAACAAGAGCTGCGCAATAGGGCCAGTTCCAACACTTTGGGATTATTCAACCCTGATTACATGTGGTGTGACGTGTTTACCTAGTGGCTCACTCCCATTACTCAGAATCCCACCAAGCACGAAGCAAGCAGCATTCGGATAAGGAAAAACAGACTCAAGCCAAAACTGTTCTTAGAACAAGAAACGACACTTAACATAGGATGCTAAGCTCATACTATCAGGCATAACCTAAACAGGCTATCCTACTGCTGTCTACTCAATTCTAGCATGCAATATTCATAAAGCTGTAACAAATAAACAGGCACATAAGGCATCACTCCTAGATCCTTAGCCTATTCTAGCATGCAATATCATAAAGCTGATAAACATAACATAAACTTGTATGGGTACTATGGGGAATACTTACTTGAGCTCGGCCGGTCGCGCACGTCACACACTTTACTCTTTCTTGTGACTCTTTTCCGGGTTTTAAAGAACAATTTCTTTTGGAAAAATCTTTCAATCCCTCGATTTGAGTCCAAACACTCCCGAAGGCGTGTCCGAATCCCTCAAACCAGGGCTCTGATACCAACTTGTAACGACCCAATTTTTACGTCCGAAAATTTCATTTTTAAGGTATTACTTTAGAAAACATTAATAAATAAAAACATTGTTTGTTCACACCATAACACATCGCAACCATGTTCTAAAAAGTCAAACCATACATCCCATCAAAATATCAGAGTACAATCCCAGTAAATCTCATAAATGCGGAAACCGAAGAGTGTGTGTATGACGTGCCGCTACCGCGCCGGCTCCTTCCCCTTCGATGCAGAGGTACCTGAAAACAAAACTGTAAACGTAAGCACAAAGCTTAGTGAGTTCCCCCAACGTACCGCATACCATACAAACACATAACATACGTACTGCCAGGCTATTCTGGGGTGCCTGACTACCCGGTACGGCCATTCTGGGGTGCCGACCTACCCATACGGCCATTCTGGGGTGCCGTCTTACCCGTGTCAAGCCATTCTGGGGTGCTGACTACCCATGTCAAGCCATTCTGGGGTGCTGACTACCCATCGGTCCTAACAACCGATCCTCGGGGACTATTTCACCCCCTACTACTACGATCACATATAACATAACAAGCCAGCATGCAAACATATCATCACATACTGTCAGACGTATCTGGGGTGTCTGACTACCCTTCGGTCCTAACAACCAAACTCTACTACTATCACATACAACATATCATGCTAGCATATAACATATCAGGTAGTAGCAAACTTAGATGATATCACAAAGACAATCATCTATCATACATCTCCTACTGGTGGGTCGGCATTGTGGCCTTAGACCCACTGCTACTGGAAGGTAACTCACCTCAAAGTAGCTGCTGAACTGATCGGGAACTAACTGACTGCTGCTGCTCCGGGAGTCCTCCGGCTGCAATTCCCACAACATACTCAATCAAACACTGCTAACTGTCCTTTAGGTAAAATGACCATTTTACCCCCGGTCTAGCTCTAAGCCAAAGCTAGAGTCAATTTTCAGTTGACCCGACTCGCCGAGTCCCTAGCAAACTATTGTCCTGGGTCCCTGGTTCTACTCGTCGAGTCGGGCTATGACTCGACGAGTTCACCTTCTAACTGTCATTCAACTCCTTCATCCTACTCGCCGAGTTGTATGAACAACTCGTCGAGTTCATCTTCATCCGATGAACACTTTATGCTAAGACTCGCCGAGTTGTATGAACAACTCGCCGAGTCTGTTCTTGATCTATGAAGATTGCCTTGGACTCGCCGAGTCAGGGCATTGACTCGCCGAGTCCTAACATGGGTGAGTTCAGCTCCCAACTCACCGAGTCACCCCCTGTGACTCATGGCTCAACTCGACACATGAAGAAGGGACCAAATCGGTGACTCGCGACCAGACTCGCCGAGTCGTCGCCATGCATCCACTAAATACACAGATTTACTCGATTTCAATCCATGCCATTCATAGATCTGGACTTCTAGGACACAAATCACACGTAAAGTTTCCAACTTTACGTGTGGATATTCACTAATGTGGATTTTAGGGTGCAAAATGCCTCAAAAGGGTAGATCTAGGATGAACAAGCCACATGGGGCCATAAAGCTCACAGATCTGAGCTCCTGGAGCTCAATCTTGCCTAGATCTAAAGGTTAATCCACTTATTACGAGTCATTAAGCACAAACAAGCTTGGAGAATTGCTCAAGAGTGTCCCAAATGACATCCTAAGCATAGAAACAGGGGAAAACGAGATATACCTCAAGGAAATGTTGAAATGACACAAAGATGGCTGATCTCCTTCTCCTCTTCTTGATCTACTCCTCTTTCTCCTCAAAACCTTCAAGAACACACCAAGAACACCTCAATCTCTCAAGGAAACAAGGGAAAACGATGTGGGGAGTTCTGGGGGTGAATGGGGACGAGTTGGGGCGGAATGAGGTTTAAATAGGGTGCAAACCCTTGAAACTTAGGGTTTCATCCAGCAGCGGTGACTCGCCGAGTCCAGGATGTGGACTCGCCGAGTCGCCTACTTAAAATGTGTCCTGAGTCTCGTCCCTACTCGGCGAGTCGGACCCTATGACTCGCCGAGTCCAAGGCTAAATTAGGGAAATGCTCAAATGAAATTCACATACCGGAAACCAGGTGCTACATAGAGTTTCATCTATTGAATGATAACTAGACTTTCCACCTCATTAAACTCACCATTATGGATACTTTAAAAGAAAAAAAAATGTTTTTTGTTTTTTTTGTTATATATATATATATATATATATATATATATATATATATATATATATATATATATATATATATATATATATATATATATATATATATATGATGAATTTATGATTAAAACAAAGAGGTTATAGATGAGTGTTTTTGTTTTGTTTTGTTTTTTTGTTTTTTTTTCTTGTTTTTGTAATAAAACATAAAAAGTAAAACCTAAAAAGTTCGTCAATTCAAATGATTTAATGAAATTTAGCCAATGTCCTTGATTTTGTCAATCAAACACAATTTTTGCTGGAATTTAAATTCTAATCCCTCCAAGTTCCTTTGAGCACAATGAACTAAACACATTTAAAATAAATTGACCTTCTTTATTGAGGTATTTACTCTTATAAATCAGTATCCTTTTTCTCTTGTCTCTAATGTTTTTCAAAAGTCGTAACGTGTTATTAAAGCACAATTCTTACTGTAAATTATTTTTGTTTATATAGTACATACACATAACTTCCACGACATTATGCTAGGTTTCAACCCTCGGTTATTAGCATTATTAAACAAAGCACTTCAAAATTTCTCTTTAAATTATATCAAATAGCATAGCAATGCTTTGCAACAACGGACATATCCTTGACGCCTAAAAGTAACCCGACAACTATCTAAAATAAGTATGGAATTAAAGCTTTGACATCCTTCCCAAACTTACCACCAAACTTTGAAACGTACCATTTTCGTGTCGCATAGCTTCGCCCCATCAACAGGAACATTGTGCCTAGAGTGAAACAAAACGTACACCCCGTCTGACAAATGCAACAGACTCCTATGAACTCGACAATTTCAAACATATAGTGTGGGCATATAACCACATCGAACAATCCTCCTTTTGGGATTTTATACTCTCTATCACCTTTCTTTCTTAGACTCGAAAGAATGTAATGATGGTAAAAGTTTCCAGTTATCCCAATAAAAAACATGACAAGTCCGATGTATTTGAGATCTAAAGCAGGCTCAGGACATTCTTGAGATAAATATTGGGCGTAAATCATTGTAGCAGTTGACACACCGTAGCTTAAACCGATGGTTATGGCATCCTTTAGCATCATAGACCCGGTAAACTTGTGAACGAATAGGACCTATACAACAAGCATGCAGTATGAAAACATTTGAACTGAAGTTTATAATTAAAGAAGAATAACTTTGCATGCGTACGTACCTCAAGGATCCTCTTGAAGAAATGAATGGTGAGTACAGATATGACCATAAGGAATCGGGAATCTTGATGGGGAAAAAAGGTAAAAGAGGCAAGACCCACGAGGAATGATGGTGTATAGAACACCAGCATCCCGATTCTACTAGGCAGCTTAAGCTTCTCCATGGCTTTTGGCTTGTTTGAACCAGTGTCGTTATCACAAAACTTGGCGTACTGCTTGTTTTTGCCTATCATTTCCATGTAACCGGAAGCAATGAGAGCTAGCAAGTTGAAAATAGACATTGCATTGGCGAACAGGGAAGGTGGTGATGGGAATGAGAACAATGAGATCACCATTTTAATTCTTGATCTCTTTGATGATATAGTTAAGTGGTGTTTTTCAACTTTCAAGTATGTTAGTATGTGTATATATAGGAGACAGAAAATGAATTGTAGGCAAAATGAGACAAACTTGAATTAAAAACCGAAGACATGAATTCAATATTCCAGTTATATTTAGAAGAAAAAGTCGTGGGCTATTCACTAAAAATAACAATAATAAAAGGATATATCATAGATCAGCTTTCACTCTCATTACGAAAACCGTTACATTGTCTTTAATTTTGGATCATAATCATAATTCATGGGGTCAAGGGCTGCTGTTCTTGTTGAATTCAACTATTGTTGGTGTCTTCTTCGCTCTTGACGCATTCAATTTTATAAATTAGTTTATCTTTGGCCCGCTTCACATCCCATTTCATTTTCTCGGCATTTAATGTTACAAATTTCATTTTCTCGGCATTTAATGTTACAAATTTAATTTTGAAGAAATTAGTTTTGCATTAAATTTTGATATATAAGTTTGAGGGTTTGACATTTGCCACTTTTTTTTTTGATCGTCAGGTAATAATAATATTGGGCCGGGTGTGGAGATTTTAAGAGCTTTTAAAAAACCTCCGAAAAAAAAAATGTTCGGAAATGAGTTTTTCATTTTCATTTAAAGGAAATTGACTTTGTAGGTTAATAAAATATCAATTTTACAATATTTAGTCGATGTTGTTCAAGAAATACTATTTTTTGTCCATGAATTACCATTATATTTAATTTGTTGTTCAAGAAATACCATTTTGATTAGCTACTGTACGTTTATGTTTACGTGTTCAAAAAACACTATTAAATTCAAATTAATTTGATGTTCAAGAAATACAATTAAACAATATTTTAATGCATAATTTACTATTAAACTAAATTTTGTACACATTTCGTCATTTTCATATTTTCCATCAATTATCAATTATTCAATCATTTTCTCCGAACAAACCATTTACTTGTTTATTTTTTTTTTAAAAACATTGCAAAAGCACTGTCTCCATCTCCCATCTCCTAAAAACACCATCACATCCTTTATTACCATTGATATCTCTTCTATCGTCACTCACATCTTTCCCTAATCCTCACTCTAAAAACCACCCTACTTCCACATCCCTCTCTCCACCCTACTTCCACATCCCTCTCTCGCCTTTTTATGCTTGAATAATTTGCAACCAGTAATCACATCCTTTAAAGGATGCAATTTTATTGTTTGAATCTGATTCTGAATTTTTTTGAGGTTTGATCCGATGCTTAGGTTTGAATGTATGTTTGAATCGATTTTGCTGTTGGTTGAAGCTGATTTTAGATTAGTTAATTGGTGGTGGTGAATGGTGGATATGAGTTGTGGTGGTGAATGGTGATGATGGGAGGTGGTGCTTGTTGTTGTGGTGGGTGGTGTCAGTGGGAACTGAACGGTTGTAAGAGTGATGCTTTTGACCGGAGAAGATGAGCGAGACATAATTAAATGGTAAATTGTATACAAAAAAGTTTAACGTTAAATCATATACAAAAAAAAGAGAAAGAATTAAGCTATACTAGTTCCCGATCATATTTAATTTACAAGCAAAGTCAAACTCAACAAATTAATTTACCTAAAACCAAATCAAATCTACTAGGAAACCGTTATCTAAGCTCAAATGTTGCATCTTGAACTAGAAAATGAAGCGGCAATGCAAGCCATAGTTACCTCATCAAACGACTAAGATCATCTGTGATTTTCCATGAGCAATGTGTAAGAAATTAGGCACAACAAGTTTGTAAGAAGATAATATTAGCAAGAGGCAGACAATTAATTCTAAAGATAATGACTAATCAAAGCTTGAAGAGTAAAAACATAGATGATTCATCAATAGGATCAATATAATGATACAAATTCTTTGAAAACAAATTAGAATTTAAGCTATATGGAATCACCAAGAAAGTGATATTAGAATTTAGGATAATGACTTGAAAGGATAACTAACTTCTAGGTTTAGTCATTAAACTATTTTCCTTGCTTGAATTAACCATGCATTTTTTTTGAGATTGTTTAAAAATTACCATTATGACCCCTATATTACCGATCATAATGGAAAATTTTAAACAATTTCAGAAAGTTCATGGGTAAATCAAGCACAAAATGTAGTTCATAACCAAATATATACAAAAGTAGAAGTTAGTTCTCTTTCAAGTCATTATCCCTAGAATTTAAATATTGATCGTATGAAGTTAACTTCACATTTATTGATTTTGAATAGGAAAATCAAGAAGGTTGAAACAGTTCGTTCTCTAGCTGATGATATTCATAACCAGTCTGAAGTAATTAACAAATCTAGCTATAATTCTAAAAGATAAATTAAGAAAATATAAAGAAATCATCATATTTAAATCCATATTATATTAAGAGAAAGAATCAAACAGAAGATATAAAGGTATAAGAACACTTCAATTACATTTTTGATTGAGAAATATAAAGGTATAAGAACACTTAAATTACAATTCACTGTGAAACGTTTAAGACTCTTGAAGCACATTATTCGGTGTTAATTATGAAATGTGATATTATTAGTATTTGATGTAGATAAACTATTCAAAACAAATGGTGATTGATCTAAGTTTCTATCACTCGACACACCCAACAAAATCTCAGTCATTGATGCATCAGCTGAGAATCCCTTACCAACCATTTCATCAACAAACTCGATTGCCCTCTTCCCAGTATTATTGCAAATAAGACCTTGAATGAATACATTATATGTGCATCCATCTGGGGAATAGTAGCCACTTTCTACCATTTCCTGAAACAACATGATTGCTTCATCTTCAAGACCATCCTTAAAAAGTCCATCAATTAAGATATTGAATATACGGTGTTTGGTTTTATTCCATTGCTTTCAAGACCATGAAAGACATTTTTTGCAGATTCGAGTTCCCTGGCTTTGCACAACCTGTTGATCAGAATGCCATAAACCACAACATCAAGATCCAATTTCAACTCTTTCATCTCTCGAAACAAATTCATTGCTTTCTTATGATAATTATCTTTAAACAAACCACCTAACAAGATTGAGTATGTGACAATATCTGGGTGTTGGCCACATGATTGCATTTTCTTCAGGAAGTGCAGCGCGATAGAAGGCTGTCGGGAAAGACAAAACCCATGGATCAAAGTGGTGTATGTGATGGTATTAGCAATCAGGCCTCTTTGACACATTTTATCGAACACCTTTAGTGCATCATTTGTCCTCTTTTTCTTACAATAGCCATTGATCAAAATGTTATATGTATGCACATTTGGATTACATTCGTTGTTAATCATTGAATCAACTACCTTCTCCGCTTCGTGTAACCTACCTTGTAAGCAATACCCGTCAACCAAAGTGCTGTAAGTGATTACATCTGGCTTCACTGTTTTCTAGATCATAAGCTCGACCATTTTGGCAGCCTTTTCGACGTCCCCTTCTTTACAAAGTGAATCCACCAAGATAGTATACGTTTGAACATCTGGATTTGGTATCTTTTCGAATATCCCCATGCCCTCTTTCCACTTGTTTGTATTACATAAAACACAGATCATTGAGTTGCACATGCCCACATTTGGTTTTGAAGTTCCATGCATCAACTTCTCAAAGAGTCTAAAAGCTTCGGTGACCATTCCATCCTTGCAAAGACTATCAATGATCATGTTATATACAACATCACCGACTTCCATTCTTATGTTCTTCATTTTCTTGACCAATTGAATTGCAACATTAGTGTTCCCCATTTTACATAACCCATTGATTATTGTTCCACAACTAATTGAGTTGGGATGAATCCCTTGTTCCAGCATGTTTTTAAACAACTTCACAGCCAAACCCATCTGGTTATAACCAATCAGACCCTTGATCAAAGTAGTAAACAGGGCTACATCGACTTCATAACCAAGTTTCAATACTCGACCCAAGACTGAGAAACCCAAATCGACACGATTGAGATGACAGTAACAGTTGATCAAAACACTCAAGTTATGAACATTAGGGTCAAGGATTTCCAGGAATTCCATTTTTTCAATCACAGATATTGCAGCCTCGTAATGTTTCATTCTCGCAATGGCTGCCACTACCTGGGTAAAGTACGATAAAGAAGGCACGAGTTGCATCTAAATCATTTCATGGAACAGAATATTTGCATCATCAACGCTTTTGAACCCTATTCTGCACTGATTTCTAACGAATTTGTTGAATCGGGCTCGACGTTTTAAAACACTTGAGGGCTTATTGTCGATGATGGCGGGAGAATTAGCAAAAGCTCTTGAACTGTTTTGACGAACGAAAAGATTCGAGTAAAGCGATTTCTGAGAAACTATAGATTTCGCCATTCTCGTGTTATGAGATAAGTCCACCATTTGCTTATGTCTATGCTTTTCGGTAAATTTCGTTTTTAGTCCTAACACTTTGTTAATATTATCTATGACCCTTTAAAGTGTAACAATTTTAAGTTGGGTTGATTTGTGGAATTTCTTATGTTTACTTTCATATTCTTTTTTTTAGATGATTGAAAATCAACTGTGTGCATAACTCCTATATTCTTTTTAGTAGCTTCAAAAGAAAAATTGTGTTCCTAAGCCTATATTCTCCTTGGTGAAAGATATAAGTTTTATAAGTTGTATAATATAATTTTTGGTACAATAGATTTAATAACGTAACTCAAAATCCGAAATTTCAATAAGTTAGAAATATTTGTAGAAGTGCACCTAAATTTTAGGTGTATTAAGTTTATAACATATGTTTGCTCATAACTAAATAATATGTGAACATTCTAACTACAACCACTTTTAAAAGGCATACGGAATTAAAGCCTTGACACCACTCCCAAATTTCTCCCCAAACTTCAAAAGGTACCATTCCAGTGTAGCATAACTCCTTCCTGTCAAGTAAAACATCGTACCGAGAGTGAAAGCGAGAGCATACGTTGTTTGAGCAATGCAAGAGACTCCAATGAACTCTATGATCTCAAACAGATAGTGTGGGCATATAACTAAATCAAATAATCCTCCTTTCGGGATTTTATACTCTCTATTGTCCTTTGTTCTTAGATTCGAAAGAATGTGATGATGATAAAAGTTTCCAACTATTCCAATTATGAACAACACAATTCCAACGTATTTTAAGTCTATTGTAGGCTTGTTATGTTCTTGAGATAGGTATTGAGCATAAATCATTGTCCCGGTGGAGATGGTGTAGCTTGAACATATAGTAATCGCAGTTTCAAGTGCCATGGAACCACTATATTTGTGAACAAATAGGACCTTTAAACAAAAAAGATAAAAATTAAATCAAAACATTGTAAATTTGTGATGAACTATTTTTCATAATATAAATTCACTTTAACACAATGAACACAAGAAAATAACAAATTTTAGCATCATTTTTTTTCCATCCTAATCACACATTTAAATATCATATTAAAGAGCATATCTTCAATATTTATATGATATAATAACAGATTATGGTTATTATACGATTTTATTATAACATAACAATCATATATAATATATATAGTTAATTATTACTTATTTTCTAATAATATTTTATGTTTGGAAAACTTATTAAAATAAAAGTGATAATTTATAATGTATTTCAACAATTTGAAGTATTATATTAAATGATGGATCCATTTTAAACTCGAAAATGATTTTTGTATCGACATATTATACACTATAACATCAAATTATGGTACGCTGCTATTCATGAACATTAATAAATTGGTGTTTGACATAATTGAAAAAAAGAAAATTTGGTCATCAAGCATTTAGCTTGGTATAAAAACAGATTAGATGCACAAAACAAGCATTGAAAAAAGCATGAATTTGAATGGTTCAAATCATTGATTTATGTGGTTGAAGTTAAAGAAAGAGACAAAAAGATTGCACCTCAAGTACCCTCTTCAAGAAATGGATGGTGAGAACCAAGATAAGCATTATGAATCGAAGATCTTGATTGCCAAAAATGGCAAAAGAGGCAAGACCCACAAGGAACGCAGGTGTATAGAGCAAAAGCATCCCGTCTCTACTACCCAACATAGTCTCCTGAACCTTGTCTTTCTTTAAAGCCGCGGCATTGAAGAACTTGGAATACTGCATGTGTTTGCCTTTTGTTTCCATGTATCCACCATTTGCTAGCGACAAACAACTTAATATTGACATAATTGTGACAAAGAAGGAAGAAGGTGGTGGATATAAGAGCGTTTGGAACAGCAAAATCGTCATTTTTTTTCACTTCCTAAATTTGAATCTCAGTTTGATAATACTACTATTGTGTTTTATATCATGTGTTTGTGCCAAACTTTAAGGTTTGAGTTTAAAGGGGTGTGTGAAATGAGTGGCTGCAACATTGTGTACGTGTATGCAAAATTCTCAGGATTTTAACGTGAAATAAGGGGACTCTTATGGAGTAGTGGTGAACACTTTTATAATGTTAAACTTATAAAGAAACAAACATATGTAAAAGCGACATTATGAAGAAAATATATGTAAAAGCGACATAAATAGAGGGGTGTGTTTATATGCCAATTTTGAGGTACACATCAGCTAAGAAAGAGTGAACCCAAATAAGCAGCGTGGCAAGAACTAAAGAGTGTAAAGTTTGTAAGACATGTACAAAAAAAGTGAATGTCACATTTATTTGTCTTGGCATTTGGTGGAATCACTTCAACCACACGAAAAATAGTGAATGCCAAACTTTATGTTTTCAGACATACTTCATTTATAAATAATGTTATTTTTAGCAAGTTTGGCCAAAAATCACAATTCGGAATTATGTTCTTTACATTTTTTATTATGTTCTAATTTTATTTATTTATTTTACAAATAGTCCAAATAAATTGTAAAAGTCTCTAAATACTAAATATGGCCATATGGGGATCCTCAAAATTGAAACTCAAATGATGAAGTTTGGGTCTTATAGTTGGGCCAAAATGGCAAAGCCGGTTTGCATCACTCGTATGTGTAATCTCGTCCCAGATTCCCAAGTTAGGTAGGTATTTTATGCTACAAAAACTGTAGATACTATGATATACATTGATAAATAAAGTGTGAATGATAGTGATTTTTTTTGTGAACTCTTTATTTTTTAGAAAAAAGCAAACCAAATATTTATAGTTTGAAAATTTCATGCTCTAAAAGATGATTATATTAAGATTCTTCATTGTTTAGTGTGCAGCTTCGAATCAAAACTACATATAAAACTATATATGAGGTTTGAAAGTGTTTAAAACCAACAACCACACCTTAAAAGTTTTAAAACACATTATGCATAGCGATTAGGTCTGCACGGTTTTTATTAATTTTATACAATGTAAAAATTTATAATTTTCATGTTATAAAAATTGTATATATTTTGATATCAAAAAAATCAAACACATCACTTATTGGTTAGACCGGAAACCGGAGAGAAAAATGATTTAATTAAGATTGATTTTATGTTAATTTCTAGACTGGATCAAACAATATGTTTTTTTTTTCCAAAAATCGTGTTGAACCGTAATAAATTCGATAAAAAAATTTTTTGGACCGGTTTATTGAACTTTGATAGTTAGATTTCACTTGGTCCGTTAAAAACTACTCATCTCTAAAGCAAATTTAACAACTCAATTTTCTCGATCGTTCAAGGTATCTGGAGTATACACAACTCGAATGATAACGACACACACCAAACATGAGTCCGATGTTGATCTTCTTAACTTGAGAACTGATACTTCTGAGTTGTTATGTCTATGGTTTATAGTTCATTATGTTAAGAATTTATGTTTGTAAATGTAAAATATATATATATATATATATATATATATATATATATATATATATATATATATATATATATATATATATATATATATATATATATATATCGGCTTTTTATAACATTGCTTGCAACTCCTTTGCCCTTATTAGCGTTCTCATATGATTTAGAATATATTTTTTTTCATGCCTAAAACCAAAAAGAAAAGTAGTCTTATAATTTGAGTTTATGTGAAAGAAACACAATGAAACTTGCACATATCTTTCACAAAATGACAAGTTATTTTCGAAAAAGTAATTTGGCAAGGGAGTAAATTTGGTGGTGGCGCCGGTATAAAACCTAATATCATAGAACGAAGAGAATTTTTTTTAAAATAATTTTTCAATATGGTTAACAAATTTACAAGAACTTTTTTAAAAAAATTTCTCAGTAAAGTTACAAATGCTTCAGTATGAAATGTGTGGCTATTATAAAAAAAATGGACATTATGCACAATTTCATGTAAAGGTTTAAACGAGTGTAACTATGCTTGTCTTTTTCTTGAGCTTTTATAATGTGAGTTTTTAATTTTGACAATATACACATCATAATTTATAGGAAAATAGTTAATAAAATCTTAATATTTTAATTTAATTTATAAAAAAATCTCAAACTAAATTTTATTTATAGGAAAATACAAAATTCCACCTAATATATTTACCTTAACCATTTTTCTCTAGATAACTTAATTTCACTTGGTAAACATGACGAGATGACTTAAATAAATTACTTCTAGATAACTTAATTTCACTTGGTAAACATGACGAGATGACTTAAATAAATTACCTGGAGGTTGAGTCATTCAGACACAACCATCTAACTAACTAGCTTGCAATCTGAAAACTTAGGGCAAATGATGGCTCTCATTTTCTCCTCATCGAGCTAGGTTTTTTTTACCGTTGAAGATGACGATAGCAAAGCAATGACTTTGATCGTATGTACGGTGAAAATTGAGGAAGTATGGGATTTTAACACTAATGTGGAAATATATGAGGACTTCACTAAGAAACAAATAAGGAGATGCAAAAATGAGTTCTTGAACATACTATGTCATGAAGTACTTGATGACTTTACAATCCCTGAGTTTGACAATGTTGAAGAGGTTTTTTATTTGAATTCGGAAGCAACCAAGTTTGATGTAGTAGCTGGTACTAAAGAAATGTCAACTGAAAGCGAGCAAGATGATGTGGTTCAATGCAAGTACAACACACACTATCTTAAGGTTAAATGGAACAAAATGAGACCACTTTGCAAAGAGATGTATGAATCACCACACCAGCATAAACTATGTTTAACGAATTATGCCATAAGTAATGATTCTCATATTAGGTTCAGGAAATGTAATATTGTTAGACTAGTTGTTGTATGCGCTAGTGATCTAGAAATTTTCAATGTTCCTTTATTGTGAGGCATACTGGATGAGCACAAAAAATTCACTTCAAATTTTTTGTAAAAAATGTTGATAAACATAAGTGTGTTGTTAGGAATTACAAAAATGTAATTATGTATAACACCGTGAATTTTCACCTCATTAGTTCTTTTTTTTATATAGTTTTTAGAAAATTAGCGGAAGTTTTTTTTAACATACATTATAAAACATCACCAATGTTGATTTATTACCAAAACAACCTCCATCAAGATAAAAGATTTCAAAACCATCACCAAAATCAAAGGTCATATGTAAATGAAAACTCAACGACATGTCCAAAATTGTATCATCTCTAAAGTATCAATTAGAAAGCAACTACCCAAAAGTCTCCATCCTCACAAAGCCAACAATTATGCTACATGTATCAAGACAAGACATAATCAACAAACAAAGAAACAAGTGTCAGCAAATGCTATGTAAACCATAAGTATAATACTAAAGAATATACATGTAACATCCCAAGTTCAGAAGCAAGAGTTCAGGGGTGTAAAGTGTACATTGAGGGAGCTACTCGACCAGTAGGTGCGGTTACTCGTCGAGTTGGAGCGTGATTTGGTCGCGAGTTAAGTGACCAACTCGTCGAGTCGGCAACCGGACTCGATGAGTTGGTGTTGGGAAGAGAAAAACCCTAATCTTAGAGTTTGCACCCGATTTAAAGGATCTATTGTCCACCCCTCAGCCTCTTACGTCCCTTTTGAGATCCAGAAACCCTAAATCATGAGTGAGAGCCCTTGGAAGCAATTTGGAGCCTAGATAAGTGATTTTGTGAAGAGATCTTGAAGATCAAGAAGCTTGGATCAAGAAGATTTGTGGAGATTCAGATTATTCTTTAGTGGGAGGTCATTTTGGAGGTAATGAATCGTTATCTTGGCCTTCTCCTTTATAGATCCATCTTTAATGGTGTTTTAGGGTTTGTTTGAGGATAATATGATGAGATTTTGGTGCATCAGTTAGATCTGGAGTTGAAACTCAAGATATGAGTTCTATTTGGATCCAATATGCAGAAAGTTCTTTGAGTTGCTATGCAAAAGCCATCCCTCATGAGTTAATTCCTTTATAGCTTGGTTTTTGAATTTTGGGACATGAAAGCAAATAAAGGTAGCAACTTTCTATTGCTAATGCACTTTAGGGACCCAGATATACTGTTTGGAGCAAAGGAGTAGCTTTGTATCTTTCGATTATGGGAATACCCGTATGAACTCGGCGAGTCTGGGAGATGACTCGATGAGTAGGGTCAGGGTTTGGTTCGATTAAGTTCCAAGTGAACTCGGCGAGTTGGTCTGGGATTTCAGGCACTGAGTCGCGTAGTGACTCGGTGAGTCTAGGAGATGACTCAGCGAGTCGAGTTGTTTATGGTGGGTTCATAGTTAAGTGAACTCGGCGAGTAGGGTCAACCAGGAAGGTTGACTTTGACCAAGAGTTGACTAGTTGATTTTTGAGGGTATGTTGGTAATTTTGGTTCTACTGGTTATGGTTTCCTTAGAGTATCAGGTGGTGGTGTTCGTGGTGGTGATCAGGAGTTTTGATTCTATCTCTCCAGCTTGGCAAGTGCAAGGTGAGTTATCCTTACTATATCAATAGGGTCTAAGGCACCAAGGTCGGCCCTTTATCAGATGGAAATCCAGGTATTTGTTTTATATGTTATTGAGTTGCTAGATCTGCATCCTGGTATTAGGATGGTATTATGTTAGTGACCTAGTTAAGGTCGGTATATTGGTATATAGGTTAATGTTATGTTAGTGACCTCGTTAAGGTCAGTATCCTAGTATATAGGGTAATGTTATGTTAGTGACCGGTTAGGTCGGTATCCTGGTTAGGATGTTGTTATGCTATATGATCTGATTGAACCGTCTGTCAGGCTGAGGATTTTTATGTGATTAACTGTTTTATGTGAACATGGTTGTTTGAATGGGGTTGGGTTAAGGCGGGTCCTGCTTTGTGCTGTAGGCCAACATACCTAGGGTGGACCGGATAAACCGTAGGCCCAACAAGCGGTCCGAATAGGCTGAAGGCCCTAAGAGGGCGGTCCAGACGTGCCAAGTCTCGGAGAGTGGACCAGACCGACTGAAGCCCCGGTGTGGGCGGACCAGTCATATTGTAGACTCAGGGAGTTGACCAGGTGGACTGAAGGCCCGGTGCGGGCGGACCAGTCATACTGTAGACTCAGAGGGTGGACCAGGTGGATTGAAGGCCTGGTGTCGGCGGACCAGTCACACTATAGACTCGATATGCATGGCTGTTCTATATTGAGATATGATATGAGTATGGTTATATGTGGTTGGTATTTTGGGGGTAACTCACTAAGCTTTCGGGCTTACAGCTTTAGTGTTTTGTTTCAGGTACTTTAGGAGATCGTGGCAGGGCGAAGGTGTGATCGTACCGCTCCTCATTTTTACAATGATGTTTCTAGGATACTCTGATAATTAAACAAACTGAAAACCTTTTTGTAATAATTCATGGATTTGGGTTGTTTTTGAAAAGTTTAAATTTATTGGAAATTTTATGGATGTTACAAGTTGGTATTAGAGCCTTGGTTTGAGTGAATTGGAGGAACATTCGTGTGAATCCTGTCTCAAATCAAGGGAAGTTTTCAAAGTAATTTCTAAAATGGTTTTCAAGTAAGAAAAGGAGGAGGCAGAGTGTACGATCAGCCAGAGCCAATTAGTTGACCCCAAAATACCATACAAGTTATTTGATTATGTGATGCGTTAGAACAACATGCTAGTACTAGGCTAGGGATCTTCAGGGATTGCATGATAGAATTACCTAATTACATGATGCCTGCTAGCCTAGGGTTTCCCTTATATGAGATATTCAACATTCATCTAGGAGTGAGGATTGAGTGCTTGCGGTGTGTGCATATATGGTTAGGGTGTTGTGGTGATACTTGAGACAAATATGGGTAGGTGTGGAATGTAGTATGGGCCCGTACTACTGAAAGCACAGGACCTATATGCGTATCAAGGAAGTTACAATTCCCTAGGGTGTCGGTTATAATTAGTTCTTAGGCGGGTATGTGTTGTATCTAAGGTTCTTGTTGGTATGTTGCAATATGGTGGTTACGAGACGCTTCGGGGAAGGATCCGGTTCGGGATCGAGATTAGGAGAGGGTGGTCAGAGTGGATCAGCGCCACCTCAGGTCATTGGTTAGATGAGTACAGATGAGTTGGATGCTAGGATTCATGAGATCCTGCATGATGAGGTTGCTGCTATGTTTTGGGCTCAGTTGCCAAAGATGTTTAGGTCGATCAAGACCTCCATGAGTACTTTGATGAGCGCTATGCAGCTCTTGCGAAGACGGCTGCCATGGTAGCTATAGTGGGAGGAGCCAGTCGAGGATTTCAGTATCGGGACTTCGATAATACAAAGCCCCTACCTTTGATGGAGTTTAGGATCCATCATTGCTATGAGATGGTTGTCAGACGTGGATGGTTGTTTCTTCACCTGTTCATGCCTTGCGGATCAGAGGGTGAGGTGTGCTCTGAACCTTTTGAGGCTCGGAGCGAAGGATTGGTGGAGGTTGACTACGGGATCTTATTCGGATGCACAGCGGGCTGCGGTCACTTGGGACCAGTTTCGGGAACTGTTCAATACTCGTTATGTTCTGCGGGTTGAGAAAGAGAGATTGGCTCAGGATTTCTTGGAGCTAAAGAAGGATTCAGAGTCGGTGACGGAGATCACCAGGATGTTCACGGAGAGGGCGATGTTTTGCCCTGAGTTTGCTTCGGAGCAGGCTCAGATGTCCTGATATCTAAGTATGCTCAAGAGGGATATCCGGCAGTTTGTGTCCACACAGAGATGCAATACCTTGCTGGAGTTGCAGGAGGCCGCTAGGCGGCGTGAGTTGGAGATTGAGTTGCAGTTGCAAGAGCAGAGGCAGGCCCTAGTGTAGTCACAGCCGACGTCGAAACAGTCCAAAACCGTTGACTCTAGGATTGGAGGTTAGATCAGCCACACTTGTGAGAAGTGTAGGCAGGTTCATGCCGAAGTTTGTAGGTCCGGTGGTGCGTGTCGCAAGTGAGGGAGAGAGGGGCATTATGCGAGGGATTTCCTGTCAGTCGGCCCCGGTTCAGGATATAAGGATTTTTTATCATTGCCACGAGGTTGGACACTTGAGGGTCAACTGTCCACAACTTGTTGCAAGACCGGTGCATGCTCCAACACCGGCTAATTTTAGGATTGCAGGCGGAGGTCAGGGTGGAGCGGAGCCTCCAAGGGCTCAGGGACGCGCTTTCCAGCTTATAGCAGAGGAGGTCAGGACAGATGCAGATGCAGTTGCGGGTATGTTTCCATCTTTTTTCTTGTTATCTTGTTATTTGTGTGGTATTGTAACCATGTTCGTCTTTTTCGCATGATTCGTAATAGGATTGAGGATCTTAGTAGTTTGGAGTGGCAGTCGGTTAGCGTCCAGGAGGATTAATGATCGGAAGATAAGACATATGATCTCTTTGCTAGGAATATAAACCGCAAGGTGAGAAGTGTTCAGTTGAGATTCAAACTTCCTTGGAGTTCGGGATATGCGATGTCGGGAGAGTTGTTCTGTAGAGGTTGCTCACTCCAGAGGGAATCAGTTCATGGAGAAGGGGGACTATATCGAGTGGGGTCGATCGAGCCATGCTTGTTTCACCATCAGTAGTTAGTAGTTGGTGCATTAAGTGGGGAGAATTGGAAAATGCTCAGTTGAATCAGCAAGCATCCATGGATGGTTAGCTGTTTGGATTCAGCAGTGTCTTTAGCTTAGAGTGTGAACTGGTTAGAGCAGGTGATAAACACGTGGGGAAGAGAGTATACCATGGGTTCAGACAAGGTAGTTGATTAACGTGAGGCCTGGGATTAGGCCGAGGTTAAAAATTCATGGGATGGATCTGGAGTTCGGAGCCCCTGGAGGGCTAGAACAGAATGCATGGGAGAGATTCCAAGGAAGAATGGTTTAGGGTGATGTAAAATAGTTTTGAACTGCCCGGAGAGACTGAAGGCCG